GACGGAAGGAACCACCAGCCTGTCGGCGCCCGCCGTTCTCGTGGTCGCCGTCGCCGTCGTCGTCGTGGTCGTCTCCGCCGTCGCCTGGGCCATGGCCAATTACATCCACGTCCCGTCCGGCTCGCCCGAGGTGCCCAAGCTGAACGTCACGGTTCAGGATCAGGAGGAGCAGCGCTGCCGGGAGGGGGCCCTGAGCCTCCTGCGACACCTGCGGCCGCACTGGGACCCCCAGGATGTGACCCTGCAGGTAACGCCCACACTTCAGCCCTGGGTCCCCCACATCCCGGGCGGCCCCCGGGGTCCTGGCTCGGCCCCTCTCGCCCGGTGACCGGCGAGGCCCTCGGGAGCATCCGCCACCCCAGTCCTGTGGGAAATGACCCCGTGTTTCCTTCATCACACCGGGAAGGTCACTCCCCCTTCTTCACAGCTGCTTTTTAAGATCACACCGAGGGCAGATTTTGTTCTTTCTAGAAGCCGCTACGTGAGTGACGCACCCATTCCACTCCGGGAAAATTCCGCGGATGGTCCCCCCCTCCCCCCCTCAGTCCATTCTAACTGTAAAACGAACCTTTCCCACTCGCCTTGCGCGGGGTCCTCGTCTGCAGCACCAGTAACTTCCTCCTTGCATAAATATTGCGCTAATTAATCCTCTCTGATCTTTTCCTTTCTCTCCCTTATCCTGGCGATTTACTCGTAGACGCCTTAGCCTGCATCATTTTATCGTCCTAAATCCGCGGATTGGCGAGTACTCGATTCCAAAGTAATGATCGTGGCCATGCATTCTAGATTTTTTTTAAAAGATAGCATTACATACCTTTTTTTTTTTTTCTTTTTTGGGTTAAATTGGTACTGCTCAATTTTTAAGTTGTAGTAAAATTAGTACCTCGTGTTAGAATGAGCAGGGACGGGAATATTTGCTTTTCTTGAGCCACTGTATGGGTAGACAAAGCTGAGAGGAAAAAAAAAAATTTCCCTAAGAATCTAGCAATTTTCGAATAACTTGAAGTTATGATTTCCTATATGTAATGCTAATTTTGAATTTCTTTTTAGTTTTGCAGTAGATAGTTTTAGGAAATACATGGATAAATGAACCTTTTCTCTTTTATCCTTGCAAACAAAAACCATCTCAGTAATTTTAAAGGCTAGGGTATTTAGAGGTTGTATTCTTACATTATTTGAATTAGACACATCATCTGTCCTATTTTTGATGACTTCGTTCAGTTAATTGTCGAATTTATTGAGACATTGATTGGTTCTTTGCTGAAATCTTTACTACAGTAGCCATCCACCATACAAAGATGAATAAAACATGAACAATACCCAAGTCCCAGAATAGTCCCTGACACTTGGGCTTTCTTGTGTTAAGTTTCAGTTCTTACTGCCTAGAAGAATTTTGAGCAAATTAAAAGGAACCATGTGTTTTAGGGGAAAAAATTGTTAGACAAAAATGTTCAGAATTTTAAGGAAGTATTTGTTGGCCATATAGATGCAATAATGAATCCAATATTTTTATAGTTAAAAATTGTGTTTCCTTTAAGGAAATGTTTTCCAAATTAGAACTTGTACTTGTTTATTCCTTATTGTGGTGGTGGGAATTGAACCCTGGTCCTTGCATGTACTAGCAAGTGCGTCACTGTGAGCTACATTACCTAGTCCTCATACTTTCTTCTTGTTTATTAGCTTATTTTTATTTTTTGATACAGGGTCTCACTATGCAGCTCAGGCTGGCCTTGAATTCACTATGTAGTCCAGGATGGCCTCGAGTTTGAAGCAATCCTCCTGCTTCATCCTCCCAAGTGTTGCGATTACAGGCGTGTCCTACACACCCAGCTTCCAGTTTATTTTCAAGGGTTCTAAAATTCATTAAAGTGATTTATTCTCTGGCAGTCAATCATAAATTAAACTTACCTCTTATTACTTGAAGGCAGTGCCACTTTCTGGTAAACTCCAGTGCTAACAAATCATGTTACTTTTTAAGCAATGAGTTTAAAGTTTGAAGCTTTGAAGACTGGAATTTCCTTTGATATATTTGTCTATGGAAAAGTAAGAATAGCTATGGTGGGGCCCTATGTGCTAGACTAATCTATATATATTTTTGACATTTAATTGTCCAAAAAAATATATTAGGGGGTACTACCTTTTTTTGCCGCGTAACTCTGAAATAAAGCTGGGTTATAGGCCAAAAGGACAAAAGGAAGCAACAACAAAATGGTTTTGATTGTTGGAAAGTAACTAATCTGATTGAATATTGATTTCTGTGTGGCAGCTTTCAACTTTTACCTTGGGGCCCATGATCTGTTTTTTTTTTGGTACTGAGTATTGAACTCAGGACCTTCTGCTTGTGAGGCAGGCGCGGCATAACTGAGCGTAAATCCCTGGCCCCTGGCCTCATAATCTGAACTTCTAATTTGTAAGTGGTGGCAAATACTATCACTTGTTTTTTTCAAAAGATGATAATTACTTAGAAATATATTTCTTCCATGTGCATACAAAGCTTTTGGTGCAGAAGCTAGGACATCAGTAAACTGGAATGATGGTTCAAATCCACTGATCTGACTTCTCAACGCAGTGATCTGACTTCTCACATTCTGGGTCATTACAAGCACTGCACTTGATCTTAGCCAAAAGGCTGGGAAGTGATAGGTCATTATAAACTATAATGATGCTTCAGGATTTCTTTAGTAAATCTCAACAGGAATGTTTTGATATTTTTTTATTTTGGGCTATAGGGATAAAAATTATACCTCATATTTCAGCAGGGAAAGGTTGTATCATACAGTAAACAGGTTACAATGTAATTTTAGGACAGTTGGGTATCAGTAATGTAGCTTGTTTTGTTTTGAGACGGGGTCTTGATAATATAGTTCAGGCAGGCCTTGAATTCACTGTGTAGCCCATGCTGGCCTTGAACTCACAGCGATCTTTCTGCCCTGGGCTTCTGAGTGCTATGATTCCAGGCGTACACCACCACACCTCCCTGGTGTCATCCCGTAATCCCCCCCACCCCTGCCCTAGCCCTCATGCTTGCCCTACCTTTTTCTCCCGCTGAAATTTTCTTTAATTTTTATGTGTTTAAAATATGCTTTCAATATACTTTAGTAGTATTACTTTTTGGAGTAATACTTATTTGGAAATTAACTCCTGCAAATGTCAAAATTCAGAAGCATGCAGAAAAGACTTGAATGCAGTAAAAGTGATAAAAGGGCCTACTATTTGCTGAGAACTTAATCAACACATGGAATGAGACAAGTGGCGAACCACTGAGCTATCCCTGGCCTTTGAGCACATGGAATGATAATAGCTAATTTGAATAGATTTTCTGCCCTTACCAGGGGTTTGTGAGTTTTTTGGAGTGCGGTGAGAATAGGCAGAGTAGACCTAACACAGTATCACCAGCCGCAGTGCTTTGTATTTAACACTACTTTACTATTCATAAAGTACATTTGCATGTATTCTCCCCAACTGTCCTGTGAGGTAGATGTAGACAAGTACTGTTATTACATATTTTATAGTTAATGCAACTGAACTTGTGGTTTGTAAATGACTGATCTGGGATGAGAACCCATTGTGTAAATTACTGCTTTTTGACCAAGAGGAAGTTATGTTCATATATTATGAAGGCAGGGAAACATGCCTTTATACAATTAATTAAAAAAAGAAGTTTTGGCTCTTAAAAAAAGATTTTGCTTTAAGTTCCCTTGGACATAAATTTGCATTCCATTTTCCATATGTGCCACTATTTTAGAAAAGGGATTGCTTCAGCTTTCCTTTAAGATACTCGTTTTTTTTTTTGGACCAGGGATTGAACTCGGGTCCTTGCGCTTGCAAGTCAGGCACTGAACCACTGAGCTAAATCCCCGGCCCTTAAGATACTCTTTTTACATAACAAACCCTCACTTACTTGAATTTGGATTTTGGATTTATCTGTATTTCTTTGTATAGTCACTGCATAAAAGAAGAATCAAGTCAGATCTCGAGCTCAACAGAATCATTCTCTAGAGATTCTTAAAATTGTTTTTCCTTCAAAAAATGCTGACAAATTGTAGTATTTTGAATATTCCATTATGTTGCTGTAGGGTCTTTCTTTCTGCAGTGTTGAACGTTATTTTTTTATTAAGTTGTCATAATTTGCATTTTTTTCATAACTTGGAACCTGTATATAGCCCATAATGGCAAGGTCTTATAAGAATTGAACTCAGCAGGTTGCTTTTTAGCTACATCCCACGCTCTTCTAAAATCTTTCCAGACAGTCTCAATAAGTTATTAAGTTGTTGAGAGTGAGTTCAAACTTGCAGTGCTCCTGCCTTAGCCTTCCAGAGTTCTGGGTTTGCAAGGTGTGTGCCTCCATGCTAGGCTTCCATTTAAATATATTGTTTAAGAGTAATATATTAATAGTAGTCAAGAGCGTGGTGTTTAAACAGTGCAGGTTTTGAGTCCAGACTATTTTACTAGCTTTCTTTACTTTGGTTAAATTACTTAACCTTCTTAGCCCTCAGTACCCTTGGCTGAAAAATGAATCCAACCTAAGAGTTGTTGTGAGAGTGGAATAAATGCTATCTTAATTATTGCTGCTGAGCACCTGAATATTGGATGCCTGATTAAAAAATAAATGTCTGTTTTTTGAAATTCCCAGTCTTTTGGGGAGACAAGAATATACAATATAGTGTTTTGGGGATGAATAAACTTTTTCACATGCAGAAGTTACACAAGGACATACTAAACATGTACTGTTCTTTTTGCTGTATGTTAAAAATATTATATTAAAATTTTTTTTGGCAGTGCTAGGTTTGAACTCAGGGCCTGTGCATGCTCAGCAAGTGCTGTACCACTGAGCATTTTTATTTGTTAAGCTTACATACACTATCCTGGAAATCAATGTTTGTATTGGCTTGTGTGGGTACAGAGCACTTCTCATATACCCTTCCTTGTTTTCTAACCATTTTAGAGGTAATTACCTAAACATTCTATTAAAATTTCATAATCTTTTAAATTTAATATTGACATTAATATTTTTCTTTGTTTTGAGAGAAGAATAAAAACATCTGTATACTCTTTTGAGTTATGTCTTCTTTAGTGTTCTAGACTTATTTGTTCACTTTTACTTATTTTTTGTGGTGCTAGGGATCTAACACTCTAGGCTAGGTACTAGCCTAATATCCAAGCTAGGTGGTAGGCTAAAATGGTAGTTGATTCTAGACTAGTGTTCAGCCTGGTGTTGTAATTTTATAATTAATTTTCTATTTTTAA